CACACACACACACACACACACACACACACACACACACACACACACACACACACACACACACACACACATTTCTGTGTCTAGAGTACTAACTACTGTTCAGCTGCTTAAAATAAACCTGCCTGTGCTGCTTGAAGCGTAGTAAATGTCCCAGTTGCTTTTATTTTATTTCATTTTTTGTTCAAAAAAAAAGAGAAAAAAATCCAAACATAATACTCTCTGTATCTGTGGATGCATATGTGACAGGACTGTGCACATTATATATGCAGCATGACAATTACAACCACTTGATTCATGTAATTACAGCAGGAATCTTCGTAAATCAGCAACTTGTATGCTTTTTTTTTTTATCTAGAGTGCACATTTGCCTCCTGCAGCTCTCGTAAGGCATCATCGCTGTTTGGATGATATTTGAAATTGAGTGAATCCCTCATGAAATGTGTGTTTCAACAGCTGTGGTTGTTACTCTTTTAGGATTTTCCATGCTTTGTGAATTATATTCAAAGAAAAAGCAGTTATACCCTTTTGATCTCAATCAGAATCTGAATATTAAGATGTTTTGGTGTTAAAAATTACATTTATATTAAGACATTTTAGATCTTTTCTGTACTGAAGAGACACATGGAGTTGTTACAGTTGATAAAGCAGAGGGAGGGAAATCTGTTTTGTTCAGAGAGTGACTATCCAAGACTTCCTCCTCTACACACAGCTCCTACTGTGTTCTCCACCTCTAGAAGAGAGGGAAACCAGCAGGAGGGAGCCTCTTCACATGCTCTATTTAAAGAAGAAACAAAAAGGGAAAAGACAGGTAACAGACAGATTTTTTAAAAATATGCTTCTCCTACTGCCGTGAATGTGCAAAAGCATCAGGATTAAACAGATGTTATTACTGTTACACTTCTACTTGAGTGAATTAAGATATAAATGATCCCCTCCACTGAAACACACAGGAGAGAGTCTGTCCCCGACATTAACCACAGGCCCATAAATTTGTTTTTGTCCAATTTACATACTATATTTGGCTGTGCTTATGCTGAGTGTGTGTTGATGCAAACTAGAAATACTCAAAATCCTTCAGCTGTTGTATAAATCCATGTAATTGAAATATTTAAATATTTAAATTTACTGAATATTGGAAAATTTCAGGAAAAAAGCAGAAAGTGTGCACGCCAAAATTACTTACATTTTTAACATTACCCACATCTTATTTGGTGGTAGTGAAACATTCACACACTTCCTAGCACTTAGTGTTCTTAATAGACTAATCTCTTGTGGTCATTACTCTTCTGAAGATGAAAAAGCACAATTAAGGACATTGGGAGTCATTCATAATGGCAGAAAATGTATGCTTAACAGACATACACAAAAACATGTGGAGCTCAAATAGAAGACCCCCCTTTGTTAAGACCACAATCTGTATTCTTTTCTGTTATTTACGTCTATAGAGAATCCCCTATGAGCATGCATATGGCGACAGAAAGGGGGGAAAAAACTCTTTGAAAAAGAGCTCCTGGCAAATAAAGCTTAGGAAGGACAGCCATCTGCTGTGACTGTTTGCTCTGTGGGAGAGTGACGAGAAAAAAACACAAATATATAGAATTAGATTAGAGTTAGATAAGATAATCATCCAGGGTAATTCCTCTACCTGCCAACTAGACTTCACTCAGAGGTGTCCCTGATCATTGGTCCACAAATCCTCTATAACTTCACCATCTCCTGGTTCATGACCACAATATCTTATAATGCCTGGTTTCTCTCCTACTACCCAGTCAGGGCCTTTCTGTTGCAATAGTTGCACTGGGTAATTTGTGATTAGTTCCAAAGCTTTTGCAGACATCCCATCAGTCAGAAATGTATTTATCTGCATGAGAACAACATGAAAAATGCATCCAGTCTTAAACTTCCTCCTAGCTGTTTGGGATTAGTTTGACCTAGTAAGTATGAAAATGAAAAATCTGCGTAGACTCCAGTTTGTCGGCCGGGTGAACCACAGGTGCACCTGACTGAAGCATAGTCCTCATTTACAAACCCTAACATTACGGCTAACAGGCGGATTTGTCCATTGCAGTGCGGCTAGCTAACAATGAAAAACCACTTAGTGCTAAAGAGAGCGTGAAAGTGGACTGTATGTCCTGTTTTTTATTATTATTTTTTTAACCATAAAACTCACTGCTACAGCCATAGGCAGTACAAAAGTGACTCCCCTAGACTGCTTTTCAGTTTTAGTTTGCTTGTTTTACAGAGTTATCAGTTCTGTCACTTGTTAGCTAACATAAACTCATGAAGTCTCTTAGCTGCAACCAACCAACCACGTGACGTCACGTTCTATACTGGCACAAGGTGGTGCTAAACACGCTCTAAAAGTTTAAACACTTATTTCTTAAACCCAGCTTCACAGTCGTGTTAAATCCATTACAGTTTTTTTAGAGGGATCCACAGTGTAGATTTGCCGTTATATGTACATGTGTTGTTTCATGTGCTGTTATGATTTGATTAATATTATGGATTTTTATGTTTCTCCTTGCCTTTTTTCTTTTACTACTTTATTTTTACTTTTAGAATTATTGATGCAAAATGTTTTAACCTGTTTTCCCCATATGTCCGTTTTAAAATGAGCTACATAAATACACTTGATTTGATTAATGGCTGATATTTAAAAGCCAGAATATGAACACATGTGCTCAGCACAGAAATGTTTCATTGTTTGAACAGATCATCCCCCACACACTCTCCTCTGTTGCAGCGGCAAATTAGACTGTGAAATTGACAGCTCATGTGTTGCCATCTGGTTGCCATGACACCTAGTTATTAGGCCCTCTGACAGTCCCAGCTCAGCCTATTTGTTCCTTCTTCCCCCTCCTGCACATCAACACTGTTTCCAGTATAAAAAGGCATGAAACACAGAGTGTAGGTTGATAACAGCTTCAGTGCTGGTGACTTCCAGCTGAGGCAGAGAGCAAGCAGCGTATAATCTTTCAGCATGTTCAGTCATGAGCAGATCCAGTGGTCTAAAATCCTAGAAAAACAAATAAACAAACAAACAAAAAAAAACCAAGAAAAAAAAAAAACCCAGGCAGGCACGAGATGATACCTTAAACAGGACAGCACAGCATGCAGATCCACATCATGACAGAGCAATTCCCCTAAAGGCACTTTCACATCAGAGCCAATTGATCTAAACAATTGTTCTGTGCTGCAGAAGCATAAAAGCCTAATTTCCACACATTACAACCCCGGTCTGGACCACATTGAGACTTTAATGCTCCACTGATCAATGAGAGGATTAAAGCAATTTAAAGGCTCCTTTGTGTGGTGTGTGCATTGGAATCTCCTTCATCCTCAAAACCTCTGGGCTGGCAGACAGGGTGTTCCTTCTGCTCCTGAACTTAGCGTGGCCTGGAGTCAAAGAGGCTGAAGCAGCACCATGTGGCCTTTTTTTTGCCATGTACTGCTGCTGTATCCCACACAGATATCCTGCTGCACCCTTGCGGGAGGTGGGGATGGCGTTGGTGGTGGAGTGACTCATTCAGCCCCCTCTTCTTCCTCTTGACATTTGACATACTGATGTAGAGGATCTCAGCTGGAACAAACACAGCGTGCTGTGTCACAGCTGCGATGTCTGTGCCTCTGAGCCCCTGGCTTACAGAGCTGAGAGCAGGTAACGATGAGTCAGCGCCTATTTAATTCATACACCTACACTGGGAAACTCGGGAGGGGGGGGGGTTGTTTTCAAGCTGATTTTATTTATATTTTCCACATCGTTTCCCGCTGAGAATTCAGCGTCCCACAACGCTGCCGCAAATTCCTTGAAAGTTATTCTAGCTCCAGCTCTGCAAGGAGTTGAGGGAAAGGGCAAAGGGAGTGCACAAAGATAATTTAAAAAACACAACACAGTTCATGAGGCAACACTGCACCACAGCTATTAGGCTGATACATGCGAGCCATTAGGTGATCCATTCTCATTAAAACTCTTTCACTGAACAATAAGGATATTGTACCTCATTTAACTAAATGTTTCCACAAACACAAAGGCTGCTGCTGAACAGGGATACTGCTTCCTAATGAACCCCACTGAGACCTATCATCTTCAGGTCCTTCAGCCCTCTGCCCACCGTCTCATCAGGGCGGATAAAGCAACTCAGAGATTGAGACTGTCCTTACATCAGGTGCCTGAAGGTGGATGCTGACAAGCGTCTCAGAGGACATGCTGACTCTCACTTCTCCAGCTCTATTAACTAGTGTTTCCCCCCACTGCCACTTCTACTCTGCATCAGTGATTTAGAACAATCTCAAAGACCCACTGAGGCAAACTAAGGGGGAAAAAAAAGGAGTCAGCATTAAAAAAAAAATCAATCTCCTCAAACCATATAACTTCAGATACAGCTTTTGGTGCATTGCCTTTGACACGAGGGATTACCTCATGTGTATCTGAACTCTTGGCAACTGAAATCCTAGTTACTCAAAGAACACTTGAACAAGTACCATTTGGTTTTAAGTTAATGCTTTATTGTGGCTGTAGATGTGGATGTGAACCTAAATGACTCTCAAGACAAAAATGACTGTCAAGTACTGGATGTACAGGAAAACCAGGCCTCTCACACAGTGTCAGCTGGGAGCCGGCAGAGGATCCAGCCTGCCCATGAACCTAAAAGAGGTTAAAAAAATGGCTGGATTAAATATTAATATTTTGTAATAATTCATGATAAATTATAGTCTATTTCTTCCTCTCTCGGTGCCAATGCAATGCAGAGGGAAGTCATTCTTTTTTTATTTTTTGGGGATTGAGGCGTTTTGACTCACTGTTGCTACAAAAAAACTATTATCTGGAGAAAAAGAAATCCAATTAAGAACATGAACAAAGTAGTAGCACTCAGTTGTGTTCCACACAGATGCTGAAGAGTGCGTATGGCACAAAATTAAATAACAGAAAGATCAGTGCCTTCACAAACAGTAAGAACATGTACTGGCATATTCAGACCAGCCTGGACTGTAAAAAAACCCACCCTGACTGTCCCAGTGAATCCAGAAACCACACACATTGCATGAGTTCGATTCAAAATCACAGCAAATGATTTTGGATCCTTTTTGCAATCTGGTAAGAACAATGTGCTGCTGGACTAACGAGACGACGCTTTGCAATTATCTTTGAGTCCTGCAGGTGGGAGTCAACAGTTTCTCCTCCTGACAAGACTGGAGTAGAGATCCAACGAAACCCCGAACACAGATATTTTAATGCACCCAAACTCCACATATAAGAACACTGAATTGTTTGGATTTCTTACAGGTTGTTTTGGGTCATTTCACTTACCTTTGCTTTGGTGGTTTTTTATGTGGCTGTTTTTAAGGCGGTTTTTGTTTCCACAGATCAGCCTGAGCAACTCTACACCTCTCAATATGACTCAAAATGAGTCAAAATAAAGCTTTATCTACTCCTTATTGTATTAGTACAGAATAATGTGATTTTGGATGTAGTCATCACCCCTGTCCCTTTGCTTTTAACCTTTATTAGGCCAGATAGCGTTGACAAGAAAGAAATGAAAGAGTGCAGGGGAATGACACGCAAGCCACGGCCAGACACAGGCCCCAGCATTAGCCTTTGGCATATGGACTGCCTGCTTAACCAGATGACCTACAGTGACACACCAATCAACCAGTCAGCTTCTTAATCTGCTTCCCTACACATTCAAAGCTACGATTGGTCAAATTACCAGGGAGTCAGGCTGTATACGTGTAAAACATAGACAATAAATAAAATAATGAATATGAATTAAAAACAGTACAAAACTTTCAACAGGAAGACGCAGCTTTCAGACTTGAGGAAGTCTGAAAGCCTGATTACCTGATTGGACACAGGCAAAGTAGGCAAATGCAAGTTGATCTTCAGCAATAGTTTTCTCAGTACTGTGCTCGGCTAACGCTGGTGAAGGAAAAATAGTAGTGCATGTGACAAATTTTCATCATGCCAGGCAAAGTTTTAAAACTGATGATGATATAAACAAATAAACAATGACACTGTATATCCAAATTGGATATCATATATACAATTAGAATAGTTGTCTCACAGCTGAACAGAAAACTACAAATTGTTGATTTGTAAAAAAAAAAAAAGAAGAGATTAAAATATAAGCCACATTTTTCCTCCCATTCAGTTAATTTCACTGAAGCTCGCCAGTCGCACTGATAGTGTTGAACGCACTTTTATTGTTTAGGTGTCAAATGTAACAGTGTCACCATTCAGAGAGGGATAAAGAGTAAATGGCCACATAAAAAAATATAAAATCAACAATGAAAATGGTCACACGGGGAAAGTCTGCTTCCCGTGGCAACATAGATGTACAGTTGAGACAGTGTCCAGATCCAGACATGTATGTGTTTGATTTGCACGTTTTTTTTCTCCACAGCCTACAGTAATCTCAGACAATAAGAGTCCTTTTTTTTTGTTCACTAGCCATGCATACAGTTGACAGTTCCACATGTGTTGAGTCAGTGTCTTCATAGGAGCTGGCACTTTTTCCATACAAAATATTTACACTACCATTTATTATTCTTATTATCACCGCCGCCTCCGTCGGTGCTATTTGTTACTATGAATTTGAATACTCTGAGCACATGAAGGATGGCATCACTGTGGAGCGCCACATTTCATATTGATACCAGAGGACGAAAAGAAAAAAAAAGTATGACAAATGTTGGCATCTTCACTTTAAATGTCACCCATTCCTGAAAAGAGTTTGGAGAGACGGTCTGCGGAGATATTCAAACACTGAAATCGCTCTTTGTCCCGTCAGGATGAAGCGGTTACTTATATTACTACTCAGCAATCTGCTGTCAGAGTCTCCCGGAGAGGAAAACAAAACATCACACGATATGTGAAAGACTCCGCTATGCTTACTATCATATCTCAAAGTGAGAAAATAGGAAAGAGATGATTGCACCGTTGTTTTTTTGTTTTTGTTTTTTTAAAGAAAGACACCGACTTATCCTTTTTCTCTCCATTCCTTTCTTTTTTTTTTTTTTTGAACAGCAGAAAAAATAAAACTAAGAACATTGAGGCGCTTTCAGGGAACCTTTTTGGTTCAGCCCTGTGATGAGTAGAAAAAAAAAACCCTCCGCCAACCTCTGCTCGAATTAAACTGGGAGCAACATTGTACATAATGGAAATCAAATGCTTCTTCAGAAATCTGTTATGTGTGTTCAGCAGCTACTTGCAACAGAGTCATGGTAACAGGAAATGCGTCTCAGTGGTGTGTCTGAAAACTGCAATAACAACAGTTATTTCTAGCAGATTTTTTAGGAAGCTATAATGAATAAAGATCCCGATCTGTTATTCTTTGCTGACAATATTTGCTTCCTCATAACGGAATAACTTAAACAACAATCAAACAAACAAAAAAGTGTAAAATAAGGCGAGGGCATGTTCTGTTTGTCATTTGTCAATTACCTTTGCGGCAAATTCCTGGCAATTTTCATTCAAAATGTACGCATTACTCACGTGTTATTATTCTTATTAATCGTGTCACTGCAAATGTTATGCTCCACTGACTTGGTATCCATTGCGCTCAACTGTGAATTCATCTTCAGTTTAATCGGCATGTGCATGTGTGTGTCTAAGTGTGTATCTGTCCACTGCAAGTCAAACAAGTTCCCTCTAAGTGGACTTTTTGCCTGGTCTGTTCCTGGTACCCCCTCCCCCCTCCCCCCCCCTCCCCAGGGCTATTGTATATTGCAAGAGGAGCAGCAGGGGTCGTCCTTGTCTGGCTGAGCGGCGTAGTCCATCTGCCGAACGATCTCAGCGAACAGTTCGTCTACCATAGTTTTGCTCTTAGCCGAGGTCTCCATGAACGGGCAGCCCCACTCCTCGGCTAGAGCCTGACCTTCGCTGGATGATACCTCCCTCTCGCTTTCCAAGTCCACCTTGTTCCCCACCAAGATAACGGGAACCTTTTCGTACCTGAAAGCACACACAGACCGACGTCAGTTTGTCAGACACAAAGAAAAAGCAACTGCTGCATGTGTGGCAAATCAGAGCTTTTTATTTTATTATGTTTTTCCCATAAAAGTGAAAAGAAAGGCAATTCCCCTTTCAGAACTTGGTTTTAGCAAATTCTAAATAAGAAAAAAAAAAGCGCACAGTGACTAAAACCTTCATCTGTTGCACTTACAAAAATCATAATTATTTAAAGGAGATCTGACACATTTATTTCAAGCTCCATATTTTTATTCTACTAAAGTAGCTTTGCATAATGGAATTTAGGATCATCTTTATTTATCTGATAGTGGGCATTAGTGCAGCCCCTCAGTTCATCGTGTATCTAGAACAAACTGTTCCAAACACTTTTTCCTTACAGTTGACCTCTCCTGATTGGCTGTCCCATGCAAACAGAAGGTTTGAAGAACAGGTGGGTGGGGCTGAGATGGCCAGTCACAACATACAGAGCAAAGAATAGAAAAAACCCCACCTCTAATATCTCTAAGTGAGCATCTGAAGCCAAAGCTCTTGGCTCACATTGATTTCCAGGGCAGACACCGATATCATTATTTGAATCTTTGGCCTTGTTTAATAAGTGCATCCACTATTTTAACAGTACAAGTATGATAGACAATAAGAAAAAAAGTATAATAGCCTCTTAAAAAGAGGCTGGAAGCAATAGGCAATAGGTAAGAAAGCATCTTTACTGGGTTACTGAATTATCATTGGGCAAATGTAAAAATGCTAACCACTGAGTCAGCACCTCTAGCAAAATATTTATGATGATTATCACCACTATCAACGGAAGATTCAACCTAAAAAGCCTATGTGGACTTTACATCATGGCCACTGTTTGAGCTTGCTGAACTCACGTGAACTAACATGCACGCATGGCTGGAGTGATTGAAACCTAAGAGAAAAGGTTTCCATAACAACGACAGCCTCTATTCAGTTTCTCCAGTTTATTATACTGGGAGTTGGTGGTTTCATCCAAAAAGCTGTTACTGTTATCAGCAGCATAATTCTTTCTTAATATACCAGTTTTGCATTTGCTACATTATCCAGTCACGTGACCATTAAATTAACATCAATTCTCAGCCTCTGTTTAATCCCTTTTTGACATCTTTCCATCTTTTATCTTTTCCAATCTCTCTAACAAAACAAGCCTGGATCTTTGAAAAAAAGGATCTCGGTGGTTATTTTTGAAAAGCTCAGCTGGGTGAAAGAGGTGGGCTCGTTCTGACTGAAAGGTCGCAAGAAGGATAAAGATAAAAGTGTTTCCACTTTAGCATACGAGTGGACTCTGAGTGTGGGAGGAAGCTTTTTTCAGATCAAGAACCAGAGCGTCACCAGCTTCATCTAAACACTAAATGTAAAGCCTGACCCAGTACAGCAGAGGAAACGGGTACTATAGCTGTGACCCCTGAGGGCAGGAAGTGGCCATAATCCTTTGAGCTCTGAACTCCTTGGCACGTAGCTAAAGCACAAAATGTCACTGTGGAACTGGACTACTTTGGGGACAGCCAGAGGATGCGGTCGGTTAAAATAAATAGGCTGCTCTATAATTACTTAAAAAGAAGCAGCTGAGATGCATTTCCACCAATATGATCACTACATCAGTTTTGATATTGGGGTACATGGCGGGCTTCTGAGGCACTTTGTACACATCAGAGGAGATAACAAAGCTCAAAAACATCAGAGAGATAGCAGATCATGCGTATTCGCATCCTTTAAACAACAGGTTGCTATTTCTTTCATGCTTATCAGTATGCAAAACGACCGAGGGGGCGCTTTCCATCTGTCGGACCTGTCGTTTGAACCAAGTTTAAACGTCTGTGTTCACTTCACACTTCACAGCACAGTCAAATTTAACCCGAGCACCTGTCAGCATCATTAGGATTTTCAAATTCTGCACTCGCTCTGTGAATTATAGATGCCTTTAAGTTATTCACCAAAATTAATATCATCCATGTTTGTTATAATAAACTGGTAAAGAAAGAACTGGCTGCTGTTGAAAAGACGGGGAGGCTGGAGACTACTGTGAAGCCTTTCCAGGCTGAGCAGCCAGAGCGTTTCTCAGAGGTAAGGGGGGCTGCAGGTTTCAGCGTTAAATAAGCTTAAACTAGCCGACTTTGATCTACCCATGAATACATTATCCAGCGAACTTTAATCTCAACTATCCCGTTCTGTTCCCAGGATGAGCCGAGAGGAGCTACCTGAATTTAAGAGACAATCTCTGAGGTCGGTCGGTCGGTGTGTGACCAAAAGTGTTGAGCTAGGCAGGCAAGCTGAATGAGAAACAACATGTTATGCTTCTCAACTTTAACATTCAGCATGTCGTGCCTAAGTTCTCATTCGCTGCATTCCTGGTGTCAGTAAAAACAGCAAGGCTGTGATTTTTCTGAAAACTTCTTTGGATCTAGTTGGTGGTAGGTTATATTTAGCCTTGAACCTTAAATTCCCTTTCCCACCTTCACTGAAAAACCCCCAAACACTAAGCATAGCTGTGGGTGGGCAGATTGAAAGGCAAAATCTTTACTTTTACAGCTGCATCCATTTAAAAGGGCCTCTGTGTTTAGTTGGGCTAATGATGCCATTTTGGTAGGTCCTCCATTCAGCTGTTGTTTGTCTCCCACTCTAAATCACTCAAAGAGGTATGTATCTTGTACCATCAGATGCTGTTTCACACAAGCTCTCGCTTTTCTGCTCTAAACTGCACAAACCCAGCAAATATGACAGAAGCACTGAGGTTATTCCACAGTTCAAAACTGGTTTCAGTTCAGTTCAGGAGGGCAAAACCTACACAATAGAAAACCTTATGTTGAAGTTGTTTCCATGGACAACAGTGGTACGGTTAAAGTAGAAGCGAAAAAAGTCATATTATCGCAACAAAGAAGGCACGTTTTTCTGTTATTTCACGTGTTGGTTTTTAGAATTTTATCGAACAGATTTTCAACTCACCAGTTATTAGTCAACTCACATCCTCAAATTTAAATAGTAACGTGTTCCTTTAATTTTTTTGAAGCAGTGGAATGAAGTGAAACAATGAAGAAGTGAAGCTACATGTACACGGACCCTGGCATGGACCTTACTCTTCAGCTTACTCCACACATTTTAAATCAGAAATGTTCACGTTGGTCTTCTTAAGGTAGTTCTTCACCAGGAGCTACATATGTTGGGTTATTGTTGTGTTGGAAGACAAAGCGATGACCCGGACCCAATTTTGCTGCTGACTAGTTGGAGTTTTTTTCCACCTTGACGAGATTCCCAGTTCCAGCTGAACTAAAGCATTCCCACACCATAATACTTATGTGTTTCACAGTAGGGATGGTGTACTTCTGCCTTCTTTCTCCAAACATAAGCAGAGTCTCTGTGGCCAAAGAGCTCAAAGTGTCTCCTCTGCACGAGTGGACTTTCTCTTGCTCTGCAACTTCAAAGTCCCTTCAAAGTTCGAGTGATTGTACGTAAGACAGATCTCGACTTGGCTAAGATTCACTCTTGGCAGTTGTTCTGGGGTCTCTCACTAGTTTTCTTTCCAGCTTCTTTGAAATCTTTAACTTCTACCTCTTGCCATGCTTTTTCTTTGCTGTGTGACTGTCTTTGAAGTTCCTGATGATACTTCTCACTCCAGTGAAAACTTTGTGCACCCATCTCCTCCTTTGTGTGTCCAAACTGATTCCTTTTGTTTTTGGCATGCTGCTTTCTCAGGTGACAGCTAAACTCTTGCTGAGGTTTTTATACTGTTTGTAAATTAGAAGAGAAACCTCAGTTTTAGCTTGATTTAACAAGATTTGTGCGTTACAAAGATAAAGCACATTGCACAACAGTGGCTTGTGCAATGGCTCTTTTTCACAGTGCAATAATATCAACCCTGGTAATCCCTATTTTGCTAAACTGACGATCACTTGCTATGTTAAAAAAGTGCTAAAGTGTAAAACATCTAGTAAAAAAACAAACAAAAAAACCCCTAACTTCATTATTTTTGTTGTCCCAAACAGCAGAAGTATCTTAAAATCACATTAAACTGTGTGTGAGTGTGCCACATGCTTTTTTTGGTCAGCTGTTTGCAACTTATGCAGCTCGTTTGGGGCTCATCATTACAGGAACACAGCACAAAGGCATCTGGACCCAAAGAAGAAAGGGTCTATATATAGTCATAATAACAGAGAAGAAAAGCAGCAGTCCAAGGAGGTGTGAGACAGAGGCTGCCATGGATACTAAGGCTCACAGAGACTCGGCGTTAAGGTTGTCGGCCAACCACTGGTGGCTGATACAAGAAAGTAAGGCTCGACTGTTGCAGAAAACACAGGCCAAACGAATTACTGAGCGGGATTCGTTTTTGCTGTGACACAAACAGCACAAACAACATGTCGCTCTTTAGCCTTCGGCTTGTGAGCCTGATGCCAGAGGCAGTGGAACACTCAGACTGCAAACATCCATTCAAGCTTGCTCAGACACAGCTTATCAATAATGCATGATGCAGATCAACTCACACAGGCCTTGCTGACAGACGGTAGAAACCGGCTGCCCAAGAGCCACTGGTTATGACTCGGGGCAGCAGCAGGCAGGAAAGGCTGTGTGCTGGGCACCCCTTCCCTGCGAATAGCATTTTTGTAGAGCGTCTTCAGTTTAGCCAGGGGAGAGAATTGAGCTGAGTCAGAAGGCAGCACAAAGCTCCTCTTTTTGCCACATTAGGGCACCGAAAGATTTAATCAGGAATGGCTTCTTTGACCCACGGCAAGAATGCAAAGATTTTCCCTTTAAAACAAGCAATAATATATGACAAGTAAAACACTTTAATTCTGTTTGGGATGGTTATGAGAATTCATTATTTGCTTCCCAAAGCCTTCAAAAATCGACCCCGTTTACTGATGATAAACACACTGGCCAAGAAGCGCCAAAATGGACAAGATAAATGAGTACTGAACTTGACAGACTGTACAGATTTCCTTGGATCTGATTTATCACAGCAATACTCTGGC